TCTTTTCTCATGCATGAAATGGGGAAAAGAGAACCCATATAAATATAGAGCAAATCACTGGCTGGACATTTCGATTTTGTAACATCTAAAAATGCCTGGGCCGAATGTTACAGGCAAATGTGAAAGCATTTGCAAGCTGTGTGTGTCCTTGTGGCCTCCTTTCAAATGCGTTTAAAGATATAGAATATGTAAACCAGAGAAAGGCAGAGTGGTGCTGGTTGGATTCGAGATGTTGTCCAGAACCAAGACGTTACTTCCTTGGGTAGGGGCGTCTCTGGACTATGGTGTGCTTTATCTTTGTGAATCAGGACTTTTTGGGGTCTTTAATAGCATTTGGATTTATAGGCTCTGTTGAAGAATATTCAATTTTATTAGTTTTGAAAAATAAATTTTCTATAGTTTCATTATCCAGTTATGTGCATTTCAGGTGGTTTGTGATAGAATATAATATTAAATATTAAAAATCATAATCCGTATGGTAGAATTAAACAAATTTCACTAGGTGATTATTTGTAATTTATTCTTTATTCATGATCCCAAGAGTGTTCATTAGAGAAAATGTCAAATGTTTGGCCCCAGGGACAAATCTTTCCATGAGAGCACTGCATGGTATTTGGCAAAAAACCATGGCTTTAATGTTACTATTCCAGTAAAATAAAGGTATTATTGCTGTTCTCTAAATTCATTTTACAAAGCAAAGGTGGAGAAGGTAATTTTTAAAAGTATTGTTATTAGGCCAATTATATTTTGCACCAAAGCTCAGTGGCTGAAATGGAGCAAACTCTGCCAGGACATCACTCTGCGGAGGAAAGGAGCTGATAATGAAATTTAGCACTTGCCCACGACTCTTCCACATTACTGGTATTTAGTAACATGGATACATCTTTTGAATTTAGCATGTTGCTTTGTTTTGTTTTGTTTTGCTTTAAAAAGTGCCTGCTTATGCTCATGATTCGCGAATGTCTTGCAGTGTCTCTATTTCATCTCATGCGTTACGTACAAATCTTAAACCAAGAATGACTTCTCTACTGGTAAATTTCTTTTAACAATTAGAAGTCCTATTCCTTTAGAAGTAGGTGACTTCAGTGACTTTCAATCTTTTTCATCTCATGGCACACATAAACTACTAAGTAAATTTTGCAGCACACCAAAAAATATATTTTTTGCTGATCTGACAAAAAATAGGTATAATTTTTTTTTAAATTAAGTTTTTCATCACCATTTAAAAATAGGTATAATTTTGATGCATTCACACTGGATGGCTATTGTTGTGTTGGTTGTTGCCATTTTTTATTTCACAGTCTAAGGGAAAAGAGGTCAGCACCCCTGACTAAATAGTCAGTTATTGCATGTTTTTAAAAATTATTGCGCGCACCAGTGTGCCTCTTGCAGCAGCCCAGTGTGCCCTGGCACAGCAGTTGAACATCTCTGACTTCAGCTCACAGTTCTGCTGGAACAGAACAGATGGCCTGCTAATTTCCTCCAGGTGGAACTCTGTGTTGTTATTGTGCAGTTTAATGTGTTTCTTGTGGGACTTTGTAACCTGAGACAAGGTACAGAGTGCTTGGCTGCCACGTGTATTCAGAGGGTCACCCCAAACTCGTTAGAGGATTTTATAAAGAACCTCACACTAGGGAACATTCTAAAAAATTTAGCATAATTAACCTATTCTGTGAGGTTAATGTTGCAACTCTTTATGGATGAGACAGTCTCTCTCTGCCTCCCTGTCCCTCTGTCTCTATCTCTCTGTCTCTCTCTCTTTCATTTTTTAGTACTGCTGACCAGAAAGGATATAAAATGCAGTGACTAAAGCGACAGGCTCTGAAACCAGATTATTACCTGAGCCCTCTCTCCTTGTTTGACAAATTACATAACCTCTCTCAAGCTTAGTTTCCTCATTCATTAAAAAGAGGTGATAATGGTGATGATAATAATCTATTCCTGGGATTGTTTTAAGGGTTAAATGATAAAACCCATGTAAAATTCTTACTTAGCATAATCCACTTACTAAGCATGCAATAGAAAACTTTAAACACTCACATACCGTTTCAGAAACGTCTCCTTTTGTGTAAAATGGTCAAAGTGAGTAATAGTTACCGTATAATGAACAAGAATCATAATTTCGAGAATTGTCAACTCTCTACCATCTCAAGAACCAGGGGATTGCAGGTTTATGTACAAGCTGAGTAAATGTAGAAGGCCTTTCTATTAGAAATGTTCAGAAATTGAAGTTAAAATTAGAGAGGAAGGGTGCTGAGGAAGAGAGACATGGTACAAATAATCCTATTTTAAAAGATTCTGTTATCAATTTTGCTCTCAGTTTACAAAACTTTATGGCTTAAATTAATGAGATAAACTTCTTTCATGTAATTGAGACACATAGTCTGAAAAAGTATAGCAAAGCAATCATTTATTGCATTATATTGATTAATTAGCTTTGTTAATTTTTATAACTTTATATAACTTTGTGTGCTCAGATCCAAGTAAGAAGGGCATTTATTTCTGAAGATAAAACTCTGCTATTTGTTTTTATTTCAATTTCTTTTTGTATAGCTGCCATTTTTACCTTAACTGATCTGTGTTGAGGGGAAGGTGAGTGGCACTTGAGAACTGCCAGAATTTGGCTTTATAGTTGTAGAGTTTTTAAGAAGTACTGTCTGTTCTTTCTTCAGAAAGCCACGGACATTCACAAGGTCAAATGGTAGCACGGCAAACGCTATGCCAGAATACCGCCACAGAGAATAATGCGACCAAATACTTGCTAAAAATCTTTTCTAAGACACACAGTGGGGCCTTACGTCATTTCATGCACACAGGTGCACATGAACACAAACGTATTTGTGACCATTACAGGTTACTTGTTTCTAAGAGTAAAACTGTAAAAGAAATATAATGTGATTAATAATAGTTCCAAGACAGATAGACCTAGAGCTAAGTAGAGCTAGGACAAGTAGTACGATTAAGTCGGGTCAATCATAAATCCGTCCCGGAGGGGTTCCTACACCAGTGCTTGTCAGCACTGGAAAGGGGGCGGATTGTGGAGCGCGCGTCAGGGCCACAGACGCAATGGAGCATCTCTTCAGCCCCATCGCTTGCCTGGCTTTCTTTCAATGGAGGATTTCTCTTTTATGTAAGAAAAGATTTAAGAGAAATTCTGTATTAAAATCAACGGAGCATTCTGCTCAAATCTTGTTAATGAATTTACTGGTCAGCCCTGTTAGTTCCAATGGGATGTAACAAAACATGGACTAAAAAAATACAGTAGAAGGACTGGGCGTGCATCATAAAAATTTTTTTTTTTTTTTTTTTTAACTAATGCATTATTGTAAAATAGAGAGAGTCAGAAAAAAAGATCTCTAGTCAGATAAATAAATCAGGCAAAGGTCTTAGTTCCCTCTGCAAAACGGATGATCAGGAATCACATTTGTGTGTGTGTGTGTGTGCTTGTATGTGTGTATAAAAGAGAGTGAGAATTTAAATTGTATCTATATATTTTTCTTATTAATAGCTAATATGAAATAGTTTAATGAAATAATTTAAAAATGTTCTGCTTATTTTTCTTCCACAAGTCCTTGTATAGTATGAAGAAGTATTTTTAAAAAGCTGGACATCTTAATCACAAATGATAATTATATTAAAAATCAAAGTTCCATACTTCAAGTCCTAGCAAAGTTGAAATTTAATTACCTGTCTATGGATCATCCATGGTAGATTTTAGTTATAGTCTTGTTCCTTCTCTTTGGTGTCCTCATGGCTTTTTTTCCTGAGCGTCAAGGGGCTAGGCTAAGTGATACAAACTGATTTTAATATTAAATTCAGAAAAATATGCTATACAATTTTAGATCTTAATACGTAGGGTTTCCTCAATGCTCAGCTGCTTCTGCAGCGTGGATAAGCAAAAGTTAGCCTTGTCACCACTGACGGAATTGCTGTAGCTTTGTATTCAGTTACACACGAGGTGCATGTTCTTTGCCCTTTCTACAAACTTAAAATATATTAGTGTTCACAACAGTAATTATGTAACTGAGACATTGTCTGTGGCATTTATGTCTAATTTACAACTTACTGACGCCTCCGGTTACCTTGTACTCCATGTGCCAGTGTTAGTGCCCTGGTGCAAAACTAGTGCCTGGTGTCAGCTTCTTAGTAGCACCGAGTCAGCATTAACTTTTATTTAGGGATGCTGAACAACCTATCCATTTCACTTCAGAAATGATTTGCTTTGATGAGAGAAATAGCTTGTTTTTTGAAAGTTAATACTTAAAAACATAATGAGAGGAATATTGATATATTGATAACTTGGCCCTAGATTGTGGTTCTGAAAATAGAAGCTCTGTATAGGGAGGGCATGGGGAAAGCTTGCTCTGACAATCAATGTGAGCTATTATGGGCATAAATTATTTTAAAAAACTGATATAAAGTAACAAAATAGGTGGCCAAAATGCATTTCCAAGTGTGTCATTTTCTGTGGAAGGGATGATTAACTGCAGTAAATAGATACATGAGTACGGTTAGAATTCCCTTTTATTTCCGCTTAAAATATTGTGAAAAGCAATAATGAAGAAATGCTTATTAATACAAAAATCCAAAGTTTATTGTTTCTACTTGGGGCAAATTTAAAAAATCTAGACGTAAAATTGGATAAAATTTTGGTGATGCTAGCACTAATTTTTAAAAACAATGTTGGCAATTTTTAATAAGGAAAATTCACAATAATCTCTGTACACTGCGATTATTTTTACTAAAAGAAATGCAGAAATTTAAACAGATATCCATTCAGATGTGGTCGGTTTTTTTCCTCCACATCGAATTATTAACTTATTAAGAGACATGCAGTGAAGTTGGATAGATATTTCTTGAAATGATGCATGTGCATGCTCTCATTGTGCTTCCTGCCATTACGGAATAATGCGTCTTACTTGGAAATACAATGATCATTTCTGTTGAATCACGCTCAGTCAGCTTATATAATAACACTTCTATTTTGTGAATCATTGCAGATTTCAGAGAGCTATGCCTTCCTACCAAGAGAAGCGGTGACACGATTTCTAATGAGCTGCTCAGAGTGCCAGAAAAGAATGCATTTAAACCCAGATGGAACCGATCATAAAGGTAGCCACAGTGTCAAATCGTGAGATTTAAAGTAATTTTATTCATCATGGCAATTTATATCTCACATTTTAATAAAAACGCGGTAGACTGAAACAGTTCAACAAGTCAGATCATCTCATTTATTCAAGTAGGAGGCAGTGAACTTTGAATATCCACTTAGAGAGCAGTTCAGTGCCCAAGAAAGGCAGTTTTGACTGTGAAAAATAATTTTTTCTAAAACAATGTTTTAATTTTCACTTGTGTGTATTTTGTGGTATTTAAGATATATTCAGCAAGGAAATGGATGTTCCTTTGGTGTCCTTTTAAATCTGCCAATTACATATCTAAAAGTAATGAATAGTATAGAGTCCCTTCACTGAAAAATTTTACATGCAAATTGTAATTTGGCATTAGCTTGCCTTAAAAATTATCTAGATCATTTTTCTAATCTATGAAATTCTCTGAGATTAATTTAATCTCAAATGTACATTTAGGCTAGTTTAGTCCCGTGTGTTGGAGGAAAAGTAAGTAGACTGGGGGGAAAAAAAAGAGCAAGTATGTTTATAAAGTAAGTTTGCAGCACATACAGAAGTACAAATAATTGTGTTTAATTACTATATTGCCTTTGCTTATTGTTACCCAGGATATCAAAAGCTCCCCTGTAATTAGAAATAACTAATTTATCCTTAGTGCTAATTTGTCTCAATATACCTTTATAGAAACTTACCAGTTATTTTTTCTCAATCTATCTCTAATGCTTGCAATACCCTAAATACTTGGTATCTAGAATCTTATTTCAATTTGAACAAATTGAATCATTCTGAAATTACAGGTAGAATGCCGTACCACTTTCATTACCCATTAAAAATGTTTTATTGCAGATAATGGAAAACCTCCCACTTTGGTGACCAGCATGATTGACTACAACATGCCCATTACCATGGCCTATATGAAGCACATGAAACTGCAGCTGCTAAACTCACAGCAAGATGAGGTAAAATGGAAATACCCATGTTCTTTTTCACAAGTCAGAATGGCATTTGATAACCATGACTGTGTTGTTAAGCATGATGGCATTTTGAAGACGTTAATTTATTTTTAAATGAAAGGAATGTCACCAGGATTGCACAGATGGAGACCATAGAGATTCTCTGTCTTAGCACATCTACCTTAGTGCTATGTGGGAATTTGTTTATTCCCAAGAAGGTTCATTTTCCTTAACTGACCTCCATTGAGCTAGCCTTGGTAAAGTGCTAGAAACTTCAGAGGAAAGTATCACAAATGAGGGAGTCCAAGACTTTAGTACTGAGGCTATAGACACATATATCTCAGATGGTTTTATTATACACACACACACACACACACACTATGGAAAAAATATTTTACTAGGTTACATGTAGTTAACCATGTCTAGTATACATAATAAATGCTTATTATAAAGACAATGTTTATGTGAAATACAAACCTACTTTATAAACACATGATGCTCATCTTTACCATTATATTTACTTTTATTTTTATATGTGTTCATATAATGAATATGAATCTTATATATGTAGAATTTGTTATATGTTCTACATAACAATATCAAGCAGTTTTGTGCTTATTATGTGTATCTGACTAGTCTGACTACTTCAAATAATATATTCCCTCAATCCTTGTATAGCCCTGTGAGATTAATATTATCATTTCTGTTTTACAGATGAGGAAATGAGGCACAAATGGTTAGATAACTTGATTAAGGATTTGAACCAAACAGTTTGACTGTAGAGAATGTACCTAAAATACTGGCATCACAGGCACTATAGTGTCTATACTGGGTAGCTATGCCACCTAGCTATGTGTGCATATATATGTATGTATATGTTACACATTGATGACATTGATGTGCACATTGAATTCTGTTATTTTTCTCTCCTTTTAACTTATATATTTATTTCAGATGCTTTAGATTTTCTTGGAATTTAGAATTGGAGAAAACATAATGTACCGAGGGAGAGGATATGCCGCCAGGAGATGACTATGTGGCTGGTTGCCCAGAGGCCTCACAGGGTGGCTTGTTCTTGCGAATTAATAAAGAACTAGTGCTACTCCGTATCCCCAGACATGATCAGAGCTTTGGTAAAGGAAGGGCATCAAAGTCACTTTGACCCGACCTGTGGGCCAGAATGCCAATTTGTTAGCCTATTAGAATGTTCAGTTCCCTAACCATGGCAACTTCTTTGCTGTCCCAAGATGTCATTTATAAAGCCAAGGTAACTTACTAATTCAGAAAGCTATTTTCTCAAGTCGGTGACTTCATAGGAATCCCAGTTCTGGTATATAAGAGTGAGATAAGTTATTCTAACTGCTCTGTCCCTCAATTTCTCAATCTGTAAAATTGGATGAATCCTGGTACCTAACTCACAGCTGTGATGAAGATGAAGTGAGTGAACAAATATAAAGAACAGTGTTTACAACACAAATAACAACACTGCTGCTACTCATTATATTAATGCTAAATGTTCACATCAAATATTTACAAATGAAAGTCAAGCCTAGTGATTTCAATAAAATATTTACAATATTTTACACAGGTTTCTCGGGCCTTCCTGTCTACATAAGCACACCATTTGTCCAAAAGTCAGTTCTCCAAAGGGTTTGCTTCAGTGAAATGGCTTCTGCAAAATATTTAGATTTGGTTTAATATTTGACAGGTTTTGACAAATTGACCATTTGACAAACCAGCCTTTGGCTAATTTAGCTGTTTGGTGAACAGGCTTTTGCTAAATATATCTTCCACACTTTACCTAAATTCCTTTTTGTGGTTGCAGTACAATTTATATTCGCTCATAAGAAAAAAAGGATGTGCTAGGGTTATCTTGCTCTCCAGCAATGTGGGCTTTGAATCTGGCCATGTAAGTTTGTCTGTTACTAGAGTCCATCCTATTTGCCAATGAATAGTTTTTTGTTAAAGTTTTTTTTTTATTGCAATCTAAGATTTTTGCTTGTAATATTTTATTAGGTCACTCATTTTTAAGATCAAAACATATATTTCTCTTTATGCTATGTTTTGCGATTGACTCCTTTAGGCAGTTTTTGGCTAATTAAAAAATCCATTCTTTCGTAATTTAGGATAAATTCCCAACTACATCTTCCCTAAATGTATTATTTTACCTTTTAAATCTGCCTGAACAAAGATACATTGCTTGAATCTTTACAAGTCTTGAAATTCTTTAAAGAGAGAAATTATTCCATTATTTGTTATTTCAAGTATCTATTAATGTGTAACATATTTTACTGAGTTCTGTAAAAGTACTGGCTGAACTCTAATTGGCCTTATTGATAAAGTGGTCACTATTTAAATATATTATATCTTATGATGCTTGATGATATTTTAAAACCATTTTCAGGATGAAAGTTCAATAGAAAGTGATGAATTTGATATGAGCGACTCTACACGGATGTCAGCTGTGAACTCTGATCTCAGCTCCAATCTTGAGGAAAGAATGCAGAGTCCCCAGGCTCTTCATGGCCAGCAAGATGGTAAGCCCTTCAAACTGAACAAACAAACACAAAACAAAACAACAAACACCTGAGTCACAATTTATTAAAACAATCACCTCTTATTCTTGTGTCAAGTCTTTATCTGTTTCTGTGGAGACTTTCTCTGTGTACTCAGGTTACATTATCCACTTAATTAGTTTTGGATTCAAGTACTTGGTTCAAAACTGGGATGATAGACTGATTCATAAACACATGTTTAGTTGTAAAAATCCAAGCTTGCCCGTGTTTTGCTCTCTGAACTTAAAATGTGTTGTGTCAATGTACTTTGGGTTTCTAGCTTTGGTTTCTCGTGCCATCATTATTCTGACTAAATTAAGAGTTTATATATGATCAAAAGAGTCATTTGGATGTTTTTATTTTACTAATGGCAAGGTGGTAACTAAAAACAATGAATAATAAAAATACAATTTTATCGGAGTGTTTTGCTGGGTAAGAAGATTTTTGTTGGGAATTTGAGCTCCTTTACTCAGCTGTATAGGGAAGAAAGATCGTGATGTCTTATCTTCGTTGGGCCACGAAAGGTTCCTGAGTCATCCTGTTGTTGACAGAAAGAAAACTGGATATGTAGAGAAAGTAGAATTGTTAGTTAAAACACGTAACGTCAAATGTTTTCAGAAATCTTTAAAAACTATCTTTGTAGATTTTTGTGTTTGTAAGTATAAAGTTATACATGGAATTAAGTGCATTACTTGGGTAATTGTGGATGAAAATTAAGGGTTATAAATAGAAGGAGACTGGCCATTTTTATTCAACATTAGTTTATTATTCCTATAATGAGTTTACATGAATTTTCTGTGACTGTATAGTTTTGTGCCTACAACTGTAGATAGGGAAATAAAAGTCTTTCCTTGCTTTCTCTGACTTTTGCTATTAAAAACTGGTTGCAAAATATTGCTGCAGCTCTAGCTGCTATTAGTGTTCTGCTGATGCTGTCAAGGTGTAAGGAATCTCTAGTTTTAAGCATACAAAACATTTAAGAAAGGCAGGGGGGTTCTTTTTCATACTACAGATGAGTTTAATAGATGTTGGCGCTTGTTGGCATAAGTTAGGAGTGCATTAATCGGTGATTTCGAAATCATAGCTTACTTGTCACGCAGTAGAATAGCTAGTGTAGTAGGAAGGACACATCGATATGGGAAGTTTCTAAGAATGCAGTTCTGGTTTAGATACGAATTATCTTTTTTCTTCTAATATATATAGATTTGTTCAGAGTTGGATTTTTTTAATGGAAATTGTATTGCACTGGGATAATAGAATAACTGAAAAAGTATATATATATTTCTCACTCTATTAATATTTGTTCATATATTTTATGTTTATACTATTCTCTTGTTTAGTCTATAATTTTGGATAGTTTAAATAACAAGAAAATGTCATAATGTAAATTCATGGTGTTCTCGATTGAAATTGCTGGTAGTGGATCTTTGGCTAGGGACAGCTGGTGCGATTTAAATCTATATTGATTTTAATAACATGTAATGGAATACCTTCAAGCATTACCTACTCTTAGGAGAAAGGCCTTTCTCATCCTATATTGATGTGTGCCTCAAGGATAAACACATATCTAATTGTTCCTTCCCCAGCCTAAGCCTAAGCCTTCCCTTATAGGTTAAACGCCTTTTCCTCACACTTCTCATGGAGCTTTCTCTTGAAATTATCTCTTCTTTCTCCTGCATCATAGGTTTTCCCCATGATCAGTATACAAACATGACAAATTAAATATCCTTTATTAGAAAGCCTCTGTTTATCCCATCGTGCCCCTCCATTCATCGCATATCCCTGCACCACCCCATAAGACACTTTACAGTGAGACTCACTGCAGGAGTCGCCTCATCACCTCCACTTACTCACCTCTTCTTTGTGGGGGGCCATCTCGGGTAGACTTTCATCCTGCCCCGCTGCTTTACTTGCCTTCACGAATGTCACCAGCGCCTTCATGCTGCCTGACTCCTTGGTCAGGCTTTATTCCCCATGTCCTGGAGGGAGACACACCCTTTGCTCCCGGTGGGCCTCCTGGGCAGCCACCCGGTGCACCCCTTCCCCACACCCCCTTCTGTAGGTGCTGCAGTGCTCTCGGCCACAGCCCTCAACCCTCTGCTCCTCTCCCCGCCCTCTGGACAGCCACGCTGAGCCAGGTGGCTTTCAGTAGCACCCACAGGACCATCTCCCCCGTCTGTTACCTAAATTGTAGTGTTTTTCAGAGGACTTATCACTGTATGAAACTATATTATTTTTATCTATCAGCTGCGTTTCTGCTAGAATGCAAATACCATATTAATATATCTTGTTATGCTTTTGATTTTTTTTTTAGTTTCTCCATTTGAGATAGTTCTTAAATGATCCATTATTTAAAAGATTAAAATATAACTTTTTACCATAATCATGATTTGTGATATCAGTTTTACATATTTTTTGTGCCTTTTTTTTCCTTCTTTCCACTGACAATAGCACTCTCCGGGTGTCACTCGTAGTGACTGTATCATTCCTTATTTTTCTTTCCAGTTAAACATACATGCACATAAATATATGTACATACTCAGAAGATTTTGTCATAATTAGTTTATAAAAATAGGTTCATATAACTTAAACTATTTCTGTATCTTTCTTTTAGAGCTTCCTGTATGCTAACTGTGTATATGTAATGGTGAGCAAACAAAGACATGGTCCCTACCTTCATGTAACATACTGTTGAAAGGAATGAAAGTATGCATGGTAACATTTGCATTCAGTTAGAGTTCATCTAACGAATATGGGAAAATTCCTGCTTATGTAAAAAACAAGAATTCAGCATAGTAGTAAAACTTTTACATTGTGTCTCTCAAATCAGTGGGGATTCTGGGTGCTTGGTCTAAATTGGGACTGAGCAATATACAATTTTAAAAGTTATATTAGAATGTTTTATTTTTTTCACACTAAATAATTTACTTATTATTTTAAAGAAATTGAAATAGCATATTGTGATTTTAGGAATCCTTCCCAATAATTATAACACTGTAGTTAGAACAAGGTCTTTATTGAACACCATATAAAAGGGAGAGTGAGAAAATTTTTTTTTTTCAGTTTTCACCTTACTATGGTTATAAAGATTTGCAATCTAATATAAAAGAAAAGAAATAGTATAAAATAGAGAGCATTTTAGAGATACAGGCTTCATAATGATACGTATGTATTGTCTGTATACTGGGGCACGAGGAGAAAAGAAGGGAAATGTCTTGCCAGGCTAGATAATCAGGTAAAAAGCAAAAAACAAAAAGACATAAATTAGAATGAAAAATTTCGAGAAGAATGCTTCAAGACTGATACATAATATTTAGCTTATTTTGCTTATTTTAAGTTTATGGTGCTTCCTTAATTAAATAAAAACATAAACGTAAAAAATGCACAGAATGTGCAAGGGAGTATTTTACCCTTGTTTAAAAAAATGGAGTAAAATATATTAAGCTATTTAAAAGGCTTTTTTAAGACTTAAAATAATGCCTTGAGGTTAAAATCTTTTAAAGGCTCTATAATCACTTGATTTACTCATAAAAGCACAAGGTCCTTAAAGCCCTTGTGCAAAGGGGCTTATTGTGAAAAGGGGCTCTGTTATGCAATGGCTGTGGTGTATTTTACAGGAATCCCAAAAGCGTTCCTGGATCAAAAAGCTTAAAGGTGTTCTGTACTCAAATGTTCATCAATTTGTAAATGTTCTTGCTCTGCCACTCATTTAAATGTATTATAAGTAGAAATGTTGTCACTTTGGCTTTTGTCTTTAAATCCCAGGTCCTAGAAATTTGTGGGAGCATGGATTAGCTCAGAAAAAAAAAAGTATTCTTATTCTCAGTTATTTTATTCTGAATTTGTATGTATTTGTACATTCTAAAAACCAGTGATCTCTATTTGTTTTTTGTTTTTCTGAGGTTATTTATTAAAGAATATCTGGTGAAAGAAAAGTGTCAGATTTAGAAATGGACTCAAAATAAACATTTGTCTTCATTTGGTAGAGGAATACTTTTCTAGACATCATTTTAACTAGTTTTCTGAGTTAATACATTATTGTAAACTATTAATACTTTTGTAAGGGGATATTTGTGCTTTATTAAACTCGAAAAGAGTATTAGATAACAGCAAAACATTTTTATATTTTAAGTCACAAAAATATTGTTTTATTTTTCTCTTTTTGCCTTTTATTTAGATTACAGGCATACCCTCAACACTCTGCACATGAGCTTAATTAGCTTTAAGATTAAGAGATTGCAATAGGAAAAAATATACAATTTTCTTTAGCTATCATTTTATTTTATTTTATTTTGCTTAGGAGAGTGTCTTCAATGCCCCTGGATTGTCCTTTGACTCAATAAAGTAATGTAGAAATTTTTTAATATAGTTTTTATCTGCAGTATTTAGTACTTCATTTATCAAATAATTGCTTGTTTATACATTGAAACCATAACAAACAGTATTCTATGTGCCAGGCAAAGAGATGTGGTAATATCTAGAACTAGAAACAAGAAAAGAGGGAGAAGGACTTGTTAGAAAATTTTTTGAACAGTTCATCAACATGTACTTCACCTTCTACCTGTGATGAACTTTAAAAAAATACATTCAAGGCAACGTTTTCATTCAACTTTGATGATTCTGTTAGCATTTAGAAATACATAGTTCATTTGCCAGAATTTAAAAATCTCCCCCGTTCTGCATAATACTTGTATTCTGGAAATGTTTTGATATGCCTTTGATTGGTCAGGCCATTTTTGATACACAGGAAAAAATTGAATTGGAATTTAGTGGCTCACTTGAACACAAATATGAAACTACAGTGTGTCTGGGTAGGTGGATAAATAGATATTACAAAATCATACTAGGTTATAGTAAACTTTAAAGAACTTTAGGTCTTATGTCACTGCTAAGAATAGGTAAATTTTTACCATAAATATGTCACTGCTAAGAATAGGTAAATTTTTACCATAAATGTTAGCTTAGTGAAAATTAAATGATAA